CACACACACACACACACACACACACACACACACACACACACACACACACACAAACATGCACAAAATATCACTTATCTCCCCACCTTGCGTCTCCAAGGACATCTTCATCACCAGTTGCCATGGTTACCCCACCTCAGTCAGCGCCTTAATGAAGTGATACCACACACATCCACACAAAGACACATCCACCTTGCATTATTAAAAGAGTCTGGCTTCCATAACAGAGAGAATCCACAGCTCTCTCTCCCTCGCACACACAAGCAGACATGCATATCTGGAATATAAAAAGCAAGCATCAACACATTATTTTTGCTCCCACACACAAACACACACAGACTCCCTGCTGCAGTTGGATGTTATGCTCATCATTGAAGATAAATGTGTTTTTCATCTTAACTGGACTTAAAGCTTTTTTTTTGTCCACTGTCCCACCCCCCCATCTCCACCCCGCTCTTTGACCATCAATCTTTGAACCTGTCCCCTCCCCTCTCATCCTGTTTTTGCCTTACTTTCTATATATCTCTATCATCCCCACCCCCCTCCTTCCTCCTCCCACGACAGTGGTTGTTAGTCGGCTCCAGGGAGGGTGTGTCCCAGCTAGCCCTGTACCAGTGTGAGCTGTACGGTCAGGCCTGCGCCGAGTGCTGCTTGGCACGGGATCCCTACTGCACCTGGGACGGCCACGCCTGCAGCCCCTACATGCCCACCGTGCGACGGTAGGCGGGAACACACAAAACATTTTCATACAGACGGCACTAATACAATCACAGTGTTTCTGCATGGCTTTCCCACATGCTGTATTGGTGTCTGAATGTGCGATCCATCCGTCAAATCACTCATCTAAAATCAAATTTAAAGCACGTGTGTTTGTCGTTTGAAATGTGGCTCGCATTACATCTAAGCTTTCATCTCTAATTAAATTGAAAATGTTCTCGACATAATTAACTATGTGGTTTCTCTAGGAGGCATCAGGGTGATTTTTCTGACATTTATATTAGCAGCCGCGTGCTGACATATTTTCTAACGGATCCATCAGCAGATTCATTCTCTTCTATCAGTTCTGAAAACTGCATGAATTTTTCTCTAGTGCCACCATCAGGGCAAATTTTAATCAATGTAACCTTGTAAAATAAAACCTCTTTCATCGTCCATCTGTTGCAGAAAATAGCAGCTAACTGTAAAAATCTGTTCCTCTGCAGGAGAAATGCTCGTCATTTAGGGGAGGATGAGGATCCACTAACTCAATGTGTCCGGCAGGGAGGTGAGAAGCAAATCCTCTGGTCTGTTGAATAATTTAACGAGGTCTGAACGGCAGTCAATTTATTTTAGATATGAATGTATGAGGATGCTTTATGGGTTGATTTAGTTGCAGTAAATAAATAAAAACAAGATAAACGTTACAGTAACAGAATGTAATTTTAATGTATATGGTTTATATGACTCCTTCCTTTCCTAACCGTCTGTTAGGGTTCAGAAAACTGAAAATACTCCCTGACATTATGTTTTGTATTTTAATAATGGTTGTAAAAATACGGAACCCGCGAGGAGACATGGGGGGATTTTTTTTCTTTTGCATTCCCACGCAATACTTTTGCGTTACCTCGCGATATTGTTTTGCGTTCCCACGCAAAAGTTTGATTTGGATATGAACTGAATTAAATCAGACTTTTATTTTGAAATATCCGGTTACCAAAAGAAGATGTGTCGCCACAAGTTCGTGAAACTGACATTGATGTTGCGTGGCTGCACTGTGTTAAAATATCGGCATATGACATACTTCTATGTGTGGCTGTGTGATATATTCATTCTGAAGATGAATTAAAGTAGTAGGCTAACTCGCTAATGGTGAACATGTGAATGTGTTAATAAACCAGCGGGCGCAACAGTATTTACGTTTACATGGACATTAGGGCTGCCACAAATGATTATTTTAATAATCAATTAATCACCAATTATTTATTCGATTAGTCGACTAATCGGATCATACGTTAATTGAATATAAAACATACAGCTTATCACGTCAGAATACAGCTGCTATTGTATAAACATCGTTATATTTTAGCTATATGCTAACTAAAAATAATGGCTGTGGAAGGTAAGTTCTGCTCTGCAGATATTACACAGGTTTCTCTTTCATTTTCTTAAAAAGATCCCACACTTTTGAGCTCCGTTGCTGGGTAGCCATGATACCAGAGCCTGTCTGTATAATGTCTTGTGACGTCCACGGCCTACCCCAGTTACCACTACTGNGTTTAATGGTGGATGAAATAAAGAAAGTGGTGGTACTTTATTTACTTTGAGCAAGTGAACGTCATGTTCACAAGATAATTAATCCACCAGATAATTCAGAGGCGGTCTGTTCGGTAACTTTTACTCCAGGAGCTGCGAGGCTTGTTTTCAAGCTTCAGACTGAACTGAAGCAGCAGCTGCTGACGTCATTACGCTCTTGCGCGATGCTGCGTTCAGGACAAGCATGGAAAACTCACCATTCTTATGCCAATACGATCGTAATGATGCATTTAGGTACCAAAATGGAATTGCATGAACATTCACATGGCGGTTATGTAATACAGCGAATCGATTAATGAAAATTCTGCGTCGACAAATTTACATAATCGGCCTACCCCAGTTACCACTACTGTGCATGTGTGTAAAGGACAGAAAGGCAGATGTGGCAGTGGAAGGTGTCAAAGCAGTTTGGAGAGAAAAAAAAGTAAAGAACAAAAAAAAAGAAAATGATTAATCGATTATTAAATTAGTCATCGATTATTTTAATAATCGATTAGTCGTCGATTAATCGATTTATCGTGGCAGCCCTAATGGACATAAGTAATCGGATTAAATGGTCGTTCGGAATAAAAATGCGTCATGTAAACAGCCCATTCGGATTATTCTGATCCGATTGAGCTCGATCTGAATGAATTTTTGATCCGAATGAGAGGGGTGGGTTATGCCGATTGATAATCGGAATGCCGTGCATGTAAACACTTAATCAGATTATTTTTCTGATTGTAAAAAAACTGACCTGTGTGCCCATGTCTTTTGACTTTCATTCACCCGGTTCTGCTCTTTAGAGGAGGTGGGACAGCAGCACTCCAGCTGCGCTGCACCGCGCAGAACTTTTCCTCCACGCTCTCAAAAGGAGACAAGCAGCAGACGTTGCATCGCAAAAAAATAAAAAAACACGTATTGCTTCATCTGCAGCTCAACCGAGGAGTAACGGCGTCTCCACCATTAATAAAAACTGACACAGGTCCGTCCTGAGCACACAGAGGAGCTCAGTTTACGGTTGTAACACGGAAGTAGAGCTGATAGTTTACAACACTGCGCATGTCCGGACTTTTATTCTGAATTAAAGTCCTGTGCATGTAAACACTTTTCATGATCGGATTGTGTCCATGTAAACAGTAAATTAGGATTATTAAATCCAAATACATTTCAATCCGATCAAAAAAAAATTTGTGCATGTAAACATAGCTAGTGATTAAAAAATTTTGTGAGGGAATGCAAAAGGTATTGAGAGGTAACGCAATACTATTGCGTGGGAATGCAAACGAAAAGAAAAAAAAATCTCCCATGTCCCCTCGCGGGCTCTGTATGAAAAGTCCAAGGTCTTAAATCTGTAAAAAAAATTAAATCTGATATAAATTTTCTTGGAAATCCCACTGTGTGTGAGAAGTTGTTGCTCCGCCATTTTAGTAAATAATCTTTGACGGCCATCCACACACACTTTGTCTCATTTCACATGTTTCTGCCTTTTTAATAAATATTTCTACCACACCCACATGTTCTTTTTCTTTCCATAACTAACTTGTCTCATCCTTTTTTGCATTGTTCTTCAGCTGGGCTGCAGGTGGAGGCGGAGCAGAGGGTGATGATGGTTGCAGAAGGTAACAGCACCTACCTGGAGTGTTTGCCTCGATCCAGACACGCTGCAGTTACCTGGTATAAACAAGCTGGAGAGAATAGTGCTGAATTAAATCAGGTATTACGCTTTTATTTTTGTGTACCTCCAAAATGTTGTCTTTTTAAACCTTTTATCATAAATGAGTTTTAAACTGTTTTCAATCTGTTCACGTCTATCTGTCCAGGTAATTACAGGTGACCAGATGGTGGTGATTGAGCGAGGCGTCCTGATTCGACGAGCCGAGCTCTCTCACGGCGGGGTCTACCACTGTCAGGTGGAGGAACACGGATATCACTGGACGGCCGTGACCGTCCGCCTGGCCGTCTGGAGCCCCTCTGCCAACCGAGTCCTCGCCTCGCTGGCCGCGTCGTCTTACCAGAGCGCGGGTTCCCAGCCCTGGTACGAGGACGTGATGGCGCTGATCCACCCGGGAAACCTGGGCCAGCACTGCAAGGCCCTGGGGTACCGCCCGCCCCGCAACCAGCGCCATCATAAAGACTTCATGGTGGCGCCGCACAAGGAGAAAGAGAGGGGAGACAAGCACAAGCACGGGGCAGGAAGAGGGGGAGGGGGAGGGGGGCGCATCGTGGGGAGAAAGAGCAGGAGCAAGCCACAGCAGAGGGCGCCGAGGAGCGCCTGAGCGCGGCTCCCCAGTGACTTAAACACACGTTTTCTGTACCATACATGCAAACACACATGCTGACACCTAACTTATACTTTCACACACAAGCATATGTTATGTACAGAGACTGTCGTGCATGCACTTATCTATAAAAGGTATCTTCTCGTTTTAGTGGCAAACATTCAACCTAAGCTACTCCTAATCATCCTCTGAAGTACAGTATGTACAGGTGGACTCGGACATCAGGGGACTGTTTCTCCTGGACAAAATGACTTTGTGAACAAAATAGCATAAGTAGAATAGCTTAGGCTGCGTAGCATGTTGATCGAAGGATGAACGGCATGCCCAGATCAATCAGTATGAGTAACTGTGTTGTGACGAGGACTTTTGAGAGGAAATTCTGCATGTGGAGCTTTGGCAGAAAACATTCTTCCACGAGGCAAAAATCAAACATTTGAAACGCAAACTCCCAATTCTCCTGAAGGGATTCCAGCTCTGGTGGCCAGCTCTCCACTGGTTACCACATTTCCAGTTAATTTCTTTAAAACAAAAACCGGTGTCCATTGAATTTAGTGAGATTCTAATGGTTGACATTTTTAAAGTATTGTGGTTTAAAGAAGCATTTTCCACACTTTTCTGCGACGTGCGTAAAGTTCAAGGTCACTTTATTCTCAGATATTTAGAAATTAGTGCTCAGTGGCACAAAGAAAACATTTTGTTGATGAGCTTTACTGTAAAAATATATATAAGTCAAAAATACAGACATGCAATCTGTTCTGAATAGAATTTGGATATTTTTCATTAACCAGCTGTAAAAATCAGATGTGCAACTACGCAAAAAAAGCTGTCAATAAATCTGTCATGTATTGAAATGGTTTGAAACATAGTCAGCAGTTCTTGATAATTAAGGGATTAAAACGTTCAAAAGCAAGTTATTAACTATCCAGGTAGTGGTTCAACATGCGAGTAACTGCAAAAAAACACTGCAAAAAACTGTCCATCTAACCAAGTTTTAAAACCTTATATCCAGCCAAAAAGTCTTTTTGATCTTGTTTTGAGACTGATTTACTAAACAAGAACTGATTGTGTAAGAATAATAATCTTGTTTTCAGAATGTGTAAGATTATTTGTCTGGTTAGTCTGAAAATTTGACTCAAATTAAGTCAAAAATTTCTGCCAATCGAGTAAGAAATTTTTACTTGGTAAGATTCTTAAAATAAGAAAATAATGAGTCAAATCAAGTATTTCAAGAATCTTACCAAGTAAAAATTTCTTACTCCATTGGCAGAAATTTTTGACTTAATTTGAGTCAAATTTTCAGACTAACAAGACAAATAATCTTACACATTCTGAAAACAAGATTATGATTCTTACACAATCAGTTCTTGTTTAGTAAATCAGTCTCAAAACAAGATCAAAAAGACTTTTTGGTTGATATAAGATTTTAAAACTTGGTTCGGTGGACATTCTTTTGCAGTGAACAAATCAAGCCTGCTTAAATCATGAGCACTGAAGACGTTAAAGTTTCCCCCTGATAGATATGACGTATATATCCCACACAGAGATCGTTTCATCAGCAGTGAGAGCTCTTGTCGGTTTCTACAAATAGGTGTGGTTTCGCCACAGAGCGACTCGCCACAACCACAAAGATGAAAAGGCAGAGAAAAAAGCGCAACGACGCCTTTGATGGGGTTGCAGATTAGCTCTCCCAGAACGGCGGCGCTCTGTGTCGCAGCGGACACATCATTGCGCTCACCTCCATGTTGGCTTTTGGAAAGCGAACTCATGAGATTCGGCAGCAGCTCCGTGCCACGTGGGAGCAAAGTGAAACCAAACGAAAATGCTCCTTCCTGTTTTGAAGCGTCGGTTTAGTTTCTCAGGAGTTCATCATTGCCACATTTAACAGACATCCATTGAACATGCTAAGGTTTATTTAAGAAGTAAAGAATTACATCACAAAAACAAACGTGTATTTTAAATGTCCAATCAGGGTCAGACTAATCACTTCGTTTCTGTCGTAAGGGATGTAATTATTTCTTAGCAAGTAGAAACTCAACTTTTAGACTGTGTCTCTTAAAGACAGAATTAGTTCACTGTTTGGCTTTGGTTGTGATAGGTAACTTAGACTCAACATTGTAAAATATCACAATACTTTTAAAAGAAAATCTTGTGGTGAATAAAAAGTGCTGAACAATCCTTTGGAGGATTTTGTACATAACGTGCATGTTTCTCAAACTGTGGACCATAAGCTAGCATTCTGTAAAGGTTGGTTCTTCAGCTGGTCATAACATCTGGCTACAGATTATAAACCAGGCCTGATGTAAAATAAAGGAGCTTTTGTTATGCAAAGGTGAACCTGGAGAAAGAGCTAAACAGAACTGACAGCTGGTGGACTTCAGCTTGTGAGGTTTTAGCCAGATGGTAATTTGTGATTCGTTCTTTGTGTTAAACTGTTCCACATCACTTCAGCTTTCTGATATTTATTGTTCAAACTTGGAGTTAATCAGCTCGGGTCACGAGGTTAGAGATAAGCTCCTTGTCAGGCTGCAAAGTCTGAAATGTGTGTATCTTTTTTTTCAGCCCGTCTCTTTCTGTATATATGATGTGTTGTTACCGTTTGTTTCTGTTGATGCACCTTCCTGCTCACTCCTGTGGATTTTATTTGAATAATGTTTAGGAAAATCTGTCTCCTTCCGTTGCTACTTAAAAGTGAAATCTGTTTTGTTTTGAGGCAACAGAAACTAAAAGAACGTATAAAACATATGGCTGTTCTTCTTTGATTTGGTTTTCTTTAATTGCTTTCCAGAAAGTGTATGCAAACGTGAAGCTTCAGACCACAAAAGAGGATGAAGCACATGACAGAGGAAGGCTAATAATTCAAATAAATTAAACTTAAACCTTTATTGGAATGGTTTACATGCATGATGAGGTACAATAATAGCATCCTTATGTGTATACTTAATTCCATGATGCTGAGTGTGCATCTCAGCCTGTAATATATCCAATTATTAATCCTGTTGAACCTCTTTTTACTTTGCTGCTTTTGCTCCTCTGGCTGTATTCCTGCACAGTTTGTGTTTTATATATGTTTGACAACTGTGGAGTCGAGAAAAAAAAAGCTCAAACAAAGGTTCAAGCTAGTAAATCTGCCCATTTGGGAGTTGAGTAAATGATTGGAGACACTTTGTGATGCTTTAACAAAAATAATCCAGAGCAGGAGGAGAGAGAGGGCAGAAACTTAATGTGGGCTTTTGGCTTTTTTTGGGTTTCAGCCTTCCTGGCAATGGCCACATGAAATAACCCACCACTGGTGAGCTACTGTTTGGGAAAGGAAAGAGAAGCACATTCAAAAGCCATAAAAACACAAAAATTAAAGTCAGTGAAGAGAATTTCACCCAATTTACCTTGTTATTACGTAACATGTTTTGTAGTCTTGGCCAATCATAGTCAAGATAGATCATCATCAGCTGACACCTTTAGCGTTTAGCTTAATTTAGCTTTAAATTAGTCATTCTGTTTTTTTAGGTGGTCGTTTATGAGTAATAAATGTCTTACCTGCTTTAGAAAGCAGTCAGTGAAATTATTCTGGATAATTTGGGAGAAATCTTAAGGTTGAATCAGTCTAACTGTTTCTCAGAATAGAAGAGGTGATTTCCAGCTGTTTAAAACAAACCTCACATATTTTTTTATAATGGTTTAAGGGAATACTTTATTATAAACTTTGACACTGAGTCACTTTTCCATCAGATAGATTTACAGCAGATCCTAACCAGATCGCAAATAAGAAACAAACTGATTTAACGGAGGAAACTTGACATGAAGCTTCAACAAACATGCACCCGAGATGTGTGAGATGTTGTGTTTGCAACATGGACACAAGATCACCGTAGAAGTTCTCACTCTGACTTGACTTGGTGTTGAATAATGTGTTGAGAACCTTTCAAAACTTGCCGTGTTTCTCTTTAAGACATGTTGCAGAGCTGATCTCCATCATTACAAGAACCTTGTGTGTTTCACTTTGTTATGCTGTATTTACATTTCTGCACCGGGACTCATCTCTTGTAATTTTCCAGAGCTGCTGTTCTGCAGTTAGACCAGACATGTCATAAAGCATGTTCTCTTAGCAGCGGAGACCTTTTTTTTTTTGTAAATATCTATAAAGACCTGCTTTCAGATGAGCATATTTGTGTTTTGTGGTTTAGCGTAGCCTAAATATATTCAGAGTCTGAACTGCTCAGGGCTGGACTTGTTCACAGTGGAAATAACAGAATAGAAACCCTTTGTATTACCACTGGAAATGACTTCATAAAAGAGGGTTTTCTACAGTAATGTTGGCACCAAAGGATTCTGCTTTTAAACTAAAATAACTAAATCCAATCTTAAAGATTCAACGCTAGGTAAATCATTTTAATAAATTTTCCATGACTGTTTTCTGTTGTTTTGTCCTGTTTGGATTCACCACAGTAAGTTTCGTTCCTGCTGCGCTTCATGTTCACCGCACACCCCGGCCTTCACTGCACAACGGCCACATACCGCTCAACACCAAACCACCATCTGCTTCTGCCAAGATGACTTCCACAGCACTTTATCATTCAGTGTTAAACAACTGCTGAGCAATCTCATGTGTGAATGATACGTTCCAGTCATGCCAGAGACCGAGCAGCCTTCACTATATGGTAATTTACTGTTGTCCAAAACACAGGTCAGCTACAGTTCACAGTTCTCATCCACATGGATAATGTTACTGTGTGCAGATTTTTTTTTTTGCCGACTTCACAAATTCTGCACAATTATGTCTCCCGTTTAGAATAGCTAAGATTTACTATGTATTTTTTATTAAAGTTTTGTTCATTTCTTGATAATTCAAAGCGTGGTTTAGAGAAAAAACACATTCTGGTCCACGGAAAGGACTCTTAAAGTAAAAAACTACTGGTTTTTCCCTTGAGTAACATTTCAACTTTTTTCCTTGTGCTCAGCCAACCAAACAGACTTTTCACACCCATTTGCTCTTAAAACTTCATTTTAGGTGTAATAAAGGGTTTGTGCACGTCACTTTAAAATTGGTTTCAGTAAGAGTCTCATGCTATTTCTTTTTCCTGGCCGTAACCTTATGCAGGGGTTGCCATAGTGAGCAAACTTACATGAAAGATTTGGTAATTGTTTATTGCCGGGTGTCCTTTCTTCTGCAACCTGGACTTGAACCTGCAGCCTCAGGATAAAAAGACCACCACACTACCCACCGAGCTACCGCAGCCCCAAAAATTCTCAGGATAAATAAAAGGTCAGATGTTTAAAACTTTTACTGCCAGCTGTTTAGGATTGATTTTTACAGTAGGACTCTAGTTTCATTGGCAATTTAAACAAGTTTGATTTGAAGGCATTTCCAAGAGCCTTTAATTATACTCTGTCCTCTGTTGCCACTAAATCTAATTTTTTATACACAAACCAGGACAGCCTGTAAAAAAAAAAAAAGAAAAGAAAAAAAACAACCGAAATCTTTTTTTTTTCAAGCTCGCAGTTTTGTTTCTAATGTTTGGGTAAATGTTACATTTTTTTAGGTGTGGTTAAAGAGCAAGCTGAAAAAAATCAGGACTTGTCTTTTCAGTAGAAGTATCTGTGTGGTGTTAAAGAACCAAACATCATTTATCTGCATAAGATTTAATAAAACAGCACCAGTCGTTTATTACTTTCTGAAAGTTTCACTAAAATACAAAGCAAATAGTCATATAGAAAAAAAAACTGCAATCCAAAGCCGACCGTAAATAATAAGTAGTAAATTGAAGTTCGTCTTTAAGAGTTAAGTATTTAAAATGGATTAAAAAACAGTTAAACATGAAATGTGTCACAGTTGTATGAAGGTTGGATCCAAAAATGCAGACTGACTCAAGAATCTTCAAAAGACAAAACATTTTTTTAAAACAAAACAAAGCAAAGGCTTTTGTGGCAGCAAATCTAGGAGCAGCACAAGAAGACACGGGAAATATTAGATGCAACATGACAACCAGTAACGGTCAGCTGGTGAAAGAAGAAGGCCTGGGGCTGATTGGAGAAGTGGCTGCAGCTGTGACAGGTGAAACAGGGAGCAGGTGTAGAAGGGCGGAAGAATACTCAAGGACTAATTAAATGAAAACACAGGTAACAAAGCTAAACACAACACGTGAAAAACAATAGCAACAACAAAGAAACAAAATTAAAAATAAATGTAAAATACTATCTGCATGTAGGAAAGGTTTTGAAAGAAATCCATGCGAGAACTGTTTGTGAAATGACTTTAAAAATGTACCAAAAGAAAAAAACATTATCTCCTGAAGGCATAACGTTACTCTTTGTTTTATTCTGCTGCCATATCTACAACATTTAACTGCAACATCAATTCTAATGTATTCTACTGAAATGAGTAAAAAGGTTCAGTTCATCTCATGTGAAGACCCTGAACATGGATACAATTTATAGCGATGATTCTGTGGTTTTCTGATTTACAGGCTCTGCTGTCATGTTGACCACCAACATAAACCATGCAGTCTCCAGCTTTTATAATGAAAACCCACATAAGTATAGAAGTATAGAAGCCACATGCTCCCTATTTAGTTTCCGTAACTCCTTTTCCTAATTGTTGTCTTTTTTTGTGGCAGATCTTTTATAATGGCTTCTCTCTGACGAGATCAAGGAAAATAAAATCTGGTAATGATGCATGCTAGGAAGCTTTAAAAGTACAGCTTATTCCAGAAACATTAAGGTTTTAGGTTAGCCTTTAGGTTACTGTCTCATGGCTTTGATATTTGTCACATATGAAAGGGAACAGAAAGGGCTCATACCCCACGAAGAGACGGGAGCAGCTGGCCTGGATGGATGGGCTGGATTAAAAATTTTACAAGCTCTTTAGATGTGGTGACAGAGTCCTCGCTCTCCTCTTCTGCAGGGTTTGCCCTTTGTTACCACATTCAGCCCCCAAAGCCACGAACACTGGCTCTGCTTCCAACGTGGGGGCACAGGGGCCAAATTCACAATTTAAGATTTATAACCATTTCACTACAGGCCAAAGCTATGTTTGACAGTAAAATTGCTGCAAAAAGCTGCACTACCTGAGGCCTCTGGTGTTTGTCTCCATCTAATGGGATAATAAAGGTATCTGCAGGATGAATAAAGCTGATGCAAACAGAGACACTTTCTGACAGAGCTGTATAGTAACTAAGTATATTTTCTTTGCTACAGTAGCCTACTTAAGTCATTTTTTGAGGATTTGTAATCTTTTTGTATTTTGTTTAATGGTAACTTTTACTTTTATTTTGTTACATTCAAAACATAAAAATGATACTTTTCCTTATTTACTTTACAAATAAACACTTAGTGACACTTTAAAAAAATTAAATATGACCGAAACTAATAATAGTGGTAGTTGTTTACACTCTAAAAAATGTAGTAATAAATTAACCAAGTTGTGTCAACTGGTTCCACTAAACTGGTTTAGGGGAATCAGATGAAGTAAATTCAACACTTCGTTTCTTAGAGCATGTGTAAAACTAATATTACTTTCCAAATTATTGTAAGCAGTTTTACAATTATTACTTAAGGACTTTTCTTATTAGTAAAACAGATTTTTACTGAAGTAATTTTCTGTTGAGGTATTTTTACTTTTACTTAGTTATTCATTTTATGTATTTTATATACCTCTGCTTTCTGAGCATGTTCAATATGAATACAATTATGTTTTCATTCCTGGCACCAAATAATTTACTAATATGGGGATAACTATATGGATCTTGTTTGATTACAAATAAACCCCAATGTCTTTTAGAAGCAATTAGGTTGATAAACAAAATAAATATTACACTTCATCTCGCTTCCGTACATATTAACGTTATGTTATGTTCTTATCTTTAATGAAAAGCTTGCAAAGTTTTTATTTAATATTATTTTTTAGGCGGAACGATTCTTTCAAGATTGTGGTGGGGAAGGATTTTATGACCGGACTCGGTTATTGTCTTGATCTTACAGGATTTGAACAGCCTGGTGAGTGTTTTTTTTTCGATTATTTGAGCTTTGCGGACGAAATAATTACCGTGTCATTGGATAAATGTGTGTGCTATTTCTAAATAAGTGGTGATACGTAACATGTTAAACTAATAAAGGTGATTTTAGATATTTTGTTATTTCGAGGCCTGGCTATCAGAGCTAACGATAACTGTGCTGCGTTGTCAACATCAGACAGCGAACTGAGAAGCTGCTAAAAAACAAGCGTAGCAACTTCCTCAACGATGACAGGCAGTTTCTATTGTTCCTAGAATATTTTTGTGTCAGTCTTTGTGCTATTTGGAGTCTTCACGGGGAGCGAGCTTAGAAAACACAACGATTAACCCTAAAGTTAGCTTGTGTTACTTAATGTGTTAGTAAATCGATTTATATTGAGTAGCCTTTTTTATCTGCAAGTGTCGCAACCGTCATAAAGCTGTAGTTTCAGTAGTTTTAATTTAACTACAGTAGAATTCCGACTTTTTAATCAGGTGTGTTGGAGCAGATAAACAAATAAAATAAAATAAAATAAAAAATACAAAACAAAACATGGAGGACAAGGAACACCTCTGGACTAAAACATGCAGGGTACCAGGATTGGACACCCCTGACCTAACTCACTACCTCCTCAGTTACTGATCAAACACCATGCTTATCCTGTCTACAAAGAGTCATGCGATATTGTTTATTACATCCATAACATATTTTTGTGCCTCATCTTGATGTTCAAACTTAATGTATGAGAGCTTATGTGTTTATAGGACTATAAAGATAACAATGAATATTTGTGTTCAGCTGTATTTATCTTGGCCATGTTTCAGAGCACCTTGTGACTTCAAGACACTGTTTTGAAGTTTGTGAACGTAGTGGCCCGATAGGAATTTGGATTCCTCGTTGATTTGTAATTTGATTTTCTTGTCTTTTTAAGTAATTTTATTTACAAAAAAATATGATTTATTCCAACCATTATCTGTCCTGTTGTCCTGTCTGGTGAAAGAGTTTTTTTTTTTTCACATCAGCCACTGTTTTTGCTGCATAAAAGAAAGCCTATTCAAAGTTCTTAAAAAGATTTTAAAAAAAGGCTGATAAATGAGTTTTGTGTACTTTTCCTTTTCAAGGAACATTCTGAATCAAATCAAGAAAGATAAAATCACATTTTATTTGACAAATTCCACGTTTTTTAAGCCATGGTGATTTACGCAAATTGAAAATGTTTTTATGTCAAATAAAAGATTGTTTAAAAAAAAGGGTGAAACTTTGCATTGATAGTTCAAAGTACTTTATGATGCAAGAGTGGCTCCCAGAACAATGGGCCTCATCGTTCGTACGCACAGATTTGTTCTTAAGTTGTGCGTACGAGTGATTTAGGAGAATTTGTGGCATTCACCAATGTTTTAGTATTCTAAGATTTTTTTCAGATACGAACAAAATTCACGAGTGGTCCAGACCTGTCGTATATTTTACGAGCAGTCAGTCTGCTGTTATCCAGACGGGTTTTCCTCCCTAATAACTTTATATTTCGTTAGTTTGAAGAAATTTTGAGTTGAAAATAAATCACACTCCATAGTTATGTTGACAATAGGCTATTCTGCTTGAATTAGAGTTATAATTTTAAATGTAATAATTTAGACTAACAATATAAATTGTCCGTCCGTCCGTTTTCTGCCGCTTATCCAGGATCGGGTCCTGGGGGGCAGCAGGAGACCCCGCTCTCCCCAGCGACACCTTCCAGCTCGTCCTGGGGGACACCGAGACGTTCCCAGGCCAGAGGGGATATAATCTCTCTAGCGAGACCTGGGTTTTCTCCAAAGTGCCAGACATATTTTGAAAACATTTTAAAATGCTTATTTCAGAACCGCATCTGAGACCACCAGCGACTGCGCGGGGCGGGGGGTACGGTGCATAGCGCTGCGGCTTCTGAATAAATGAAAATGATTTAACACAGTTGTTTATACATTTAGCAGCTCTTTTTATTCCACAGCTGACCTGCTAAAAAATGACAGATTTTCTTTTCTGGATCTCTGACAGACAGACTTCAATCTCTGAACTCGCAAAGTTTTTCTTTTTAGTTTTTGCTGTCATTTTTCATGAATGGACACTTCCTGATATCTGAGGCAGGAAACAGCCTTATATGGTGTTTTTGGGGTGGTAATTATGCTAATCTCCTCTCGCGTGCACGAGCAGCTGGATACGAACAGGTGGAATTTACGCAGCTCATTTACACACTTTTCCTGAAGATAGAAGAGTTTGTTGAATCTGACGTGACATGTTCGTACGAACCCTTCGTATGAACAAAAGTAAGAGAAATTTAGGATAAGAATACGAACATGTTCTTGCATGAGGCCCAATGTTTCTAACATTCTCTCTTATCACCAGCAGGTGGAGGGATGAGTCTCTCCCCTGTGACTGGCACTGAGGTGCCAGAGACGGCAAATGGGGTGGTGACACCAGTGTCTTTGGAGAATGGTCCTCATGCACCAGCAGCAGTGAAATGTGGAGGCAGCAGATTACCAGGAACCGGAGAGGAACCACTGGATGGGTCCCCCGAACACACAGAGAACAATGTGGAAAACAAAGTTTACACCGAAAACAACCTCTTGGACACTGAGAAAGACCTCAATGACAGAACGTCTACTTTATCATTAAACAGTCCTCAGGAGGCGGACCTCTCATTAGACGACAGGACGAGTACTGGATACTCCGAATCCAAAGACATTCCTAAGACTGATGGTGCGCACAACTTGGTGCTCTTGTTGGATTCGGCACAGCAGGGAGAGTCGATCCACTCGTGTCAGCGAGGAGGCCCTTTCACAACAGACAGACGACAGACAGGAAGTACAGAGAGAGGCGCTGAGAGTAGGGAGGAGGAAGAAGATGGAGAGAAAGAGAAACAGGATGAGGAGAAAGATGAAAAGAGCGAAAACAAGTGGAGGAGCTCAGAAGGGAGAACAGAGATGGCGGTGAGTGGACAGTAGGATTATTATTTATTCTCGATTTATTAGATTACGAATAATATAATAATGGCTCCATGGAAATAAAGAACAATAACAGACAGATATACAGGAACTCCTGTGATCTCAACTGAAAGCAGTGGAAATGAATGCAGCTGAGCCTATAAAAGTTAAATTATAGGGCTGGGCGGTATGACCTTAAATTCTTATCATGGTATAAATTGAACCCCTTCACGGTAACGGTATATATCGCGGTGGAAAATTATCATAAAAAGTTAAGATAATGTAATTTTTAGAGCATTGTTTTTGTAGAAAACTGTAATCTTAATTAAACCCAACATTTTTGCTTTAATGTCTGCCTGCCAAACAATGAGCTTCTGCCTGCTGAACTTATCAGCTGCTGCTCTGCTGCACGCTCATCTTCATCATCTTCATCATCAGAGCAGAAGATGACCTTACATTAGCAAGATGGATTTACGACTGAACAAACGTCCATGTCTTTTTTTAAAAATAATCTCTGTGGGTAACAATACATAAAAAACATATTTTTTCTCCGACAATTGGGTGTTAAAAACTACGGTTGTTAAAGCTTCACTCTGCACGACGTGCAGCAGAAGGGAGGAGGGAGAAGGAAATGATCCTGCGTCACGATGTAACTTTTCTGCAGCGGGAGGAGGAAATTTTGAGGATTTATTCTCTCTATACGTGTTTTAAAATGCTAGAATTTCTTCATTATATTTCAAACTCCTCCTGCTCAGTTGTCTCTTCACTTGCAGCCCTGTTGACACAGGTGCGATGATGTACTGATGATATGACGGTAGAGTATAAATTTCTACCGTAGGCCAACTTCATACCATTTATGCTGTCTACCGCGCAGCCCTATTAAATTATAGTTTTTAAATAGACTGTACTGAGGCTTGTAGTCTTTAAAAGAGAAAAGTGGAATGAACCATTGGAGACATGCGGCTGATTAACTGGTTTAACACTGGTTTTACTTGTCTATGTCTTTAATCCCTGCTCTCGTTTACAGTCTTCACAGCATTATTCCTCCTCCGCCCCTGGTCCAAGTACCTCCTCCTCTTCTCCACCTGTTCTTAACTCGGATGATACCCCATGTCCTCCTCATATAATGGCCCAGGTTTGGGTTCGCAATGTTCGAGGGATGCAGGACAGCAAGAGCCTGGATGAAATAAGCCAAGCGTGTGGAGGTAGGTTTCCGTCTCCGGTGGTGATCATGCCTTTCCTGCTGTTTGGCTCTTCCTTGAAATTTCCGATGTGTTTTCCACAGGTGGATCAGGAGCACGAGGGGGTGGCAGAAGCGGACAGTCGGAAGGCAGACGGGCCACGATCTCTTCAGCTCTGGAGCTAGAGGGAACCGTCAGTCATGAAGGAGACCTAACCAACTTCATCACCAAGAACCTGGAGCAGAAGATCAAAATGAGCTCCAAGCCCAGTCTGGACTGCAGTGATTGTGAGTGAGATGTTAAATGTAGAAATAATTTATGAACTAACAATTTGAATTTGAATGTTTTAACGCTAACGCAGATAAAGTGAGTAAAGAGAGATAAAGTGAGATAAAGTGCACAGTGAAGGTGTTGAGGGGATCCTTTTCGGTGACTTTAGGATCACATCTCTGCTTTTTGTGGATGATGTGGTCTTATTGGCTTCATCAGATCGTGATCTCCAGCTCTCACTGGAGTGGTTCACAGCCGAGTGTGAAGCGGCGGGGATGAGGATCAGTGCCTACAAATCCGAGACCATGGTCTTGAGCTGGAAAAGGGTAGGGGACCTTCTCCGGGCCGGGGAGGAGGTCCTGCCCCAAGTGGAGGAATTTAAGTATCTCGGGGTCTTGTTCACGAATGAGGGAAGAATGGAGCTGGAGATCAACGGGTGGATTGGTGCTGCGTCTGCAGTGATGCGGGCGCTGTACCGGTTTGTCGTGGTGAAGCGGGAGCTGAGCCAGAAGGTGAAGCTCTCGGTTTACCGGTCGGTCTACGTTCCTACCCTCATCTATGGTCACGAGCTTTGGGTAGTGACCGAAAGAACGACGTGGATACAAGCAGCTGAAATGTTTCCTCTGCAGGGTGTCTGGGCTCTCCCTTAGAGATAGGGTGAGAAGCTCAGTCATCCGGGACTCAGAGTAGAGCCGCTGCTCCTCCACGTCGAGAGGAGGCAGTTGAGGTGTTTCATCTGGTTAGGATGCCTCCTGGACGCCTCTCTGGTGAGGTGTTCTGGGCACGTCCCACTGGGAGGAGACCCAGAGGAAGACCCAGGACACACTGGAGGGACTATGTTTCTTGGCTGGCCTGGGAACACCTTGGGATTCCCCCAGATGAGCTGGCCCAAGTGGCTGGGGAGAGGGAGGTCTGGGTCTCTCTGCTTAAGCTGCTGCCCCCGTGACCTGACCCCGGATAAGAGGAAGAAAACGGACGGACGGACGGATAAAATGTAGAGGAAATAAGCTCTCATGACCATTTGTTCAAACTGAGGCATGCTGTAGGTTTGGTTATGAATTACCATGAATCAGTTGAAAATCAGAGGAAATTAATGTTAAAATAATTTCATAGAAAATTGTCCAAACCCAAGTTTTCTGTTACGCAAGAAGCTTTTCATTTAGATAAGTTGTGTTTTTAGTGGCGAGTAATCGAACACAAAAAGCTTAAAGTCATGTAACTATTTCAGAAATAAAATAATATTTTAAAGTTTTGTAGGCTGACTTAAATCAGTTTTTATCCATTATCAGCCATCTGTCTAGTCTAAATTCTTTCTGGCAGAAACACAGAAATGCTTCTTTTAACTCTTAAGACCCTCTGGATGAGTGTATCAGCTAAAATAGCCTTTTAATTTAAGCCCAGTAACACAGTCAATATGCCCTCTGTGGCAGCTTATTCCCTCTACCTGCTGATTCAATTAAGATGGATGACTCACACTGTTTGGACTTGAAGGATTTACGATTAAACTCCAGCTGCTTCCTGACAGAAAAGACGTGTCTATTTTATACTTTAACAGCCACAGACCACCAGTGATTTTTGTATTCTCAGATTTATTTATCAGGAGAAACAAAATTCTGTTTTTAAAGGTGTTTTTATAGACGTAATTCTTTTTTTTAATCTTAGTCATACCTTTTCTCTTTTTCCTGATTTCTTTTTAATAGTTTTTTTCTCGTTCTTTCCTGTATGTTTGTATAATTTGTTTTTAGATATGTTGTATCTCAGTTGTGTTTTGAACATGATAAAGAAGAAACACACCTAAAAGTCTATCCGTGTTACTAAAATGTGTTCACTAAAATAAGTGACGTAACACTGATTTTTTGTTTACATTTATTTATTTGTCTAAATTTAACACCCCAGCTGACTGCTCAGGTCCTATCTACCGGAGCCGAGGGTTGTCTCGGAGACCGGCAGATATCCCACCCATCGATCCTACAGTTTTATTGGATCTCCAGAAACACACCCAGGAGGTGGCACACAGTGTGGAGATGATGATGAAGAGCCTCAATGGAACCATACAGAATGTGGGTCTTAAACTGTCATTTTTTAATTTCAAAAGTTTTTTTTTAAACTTATCCACTGTTTTCATAAACAGCTGACCTTTATTTGTCCATCTGTTCATTTGTCCAGATGACAGCTCTGAGTGTCGGCTACATCCAGACCTACAGAGACTCAGTGGACAGCTTGGGAGAGTCTGTAGACATGAGTATAAAGGTAAAACGTAGAGTCTGCCCTTTTTACGTTAAGAATAAAGTGCTTGTAGACCAAGACAAGACCAAGACTTTTAAGGTTTCGACCAAGTCGAGACCAAGTCCAAGGGAGCTCGCCCTCCCTTGGACTTGGTCTCGACTTGGTCCACAAGACCAAGACCCGATTAAAAAAAGTGCCCTAAAAGATGGAGTATTCTGTACACATGTGCAGTGG